ATAGACTTGGCCATTTCGCTTTTCCTGTTATGCAAAAACATTATACTCCTTGGGCAGTTTTCTTGGTTTTACGGAAATGTCTTAGTAACTCCTCGAGTTACAAGTACATCAACTCGTCTTACCTCAACTCCTACTAAGTAAGAACGTCTAGCATAACCCACTTAGCCATCAGCTTGGGGCCATATCCAAAAACTCGGTTACTCCACCAACACCCTTTCCTCGGCATTCTATTGCCTTGTTTTGGTTCTTCTAACTTAACCATTCTCATCACTGACATGATTAAATCCCTTCCTGGTTGTTCAACAGCTCCTTGGCTCCATTAAATTACACTAGTCGTCACCCTTAACCATTTCTATTATGGAATCGGATCCATAGACTAGTTTCCTCCAACTTAGTCATGACTCCCCTCAGTCACCCGACCATTCCATGATCGATGTTAGAGCTTCCCCGCCCACTTATCCTTCTTAACTAGGATCCCGTTTGCCTAACTAGATCAACTAGTTAACACATAAGTTATGATGCGTTTATCACAGAACTCGCTCCCGATTCCTTACTGAACTTTCTGGATCTTCCTCAGACTCCTCAAACACTCTTTGTGCCTCGGATCACACAAGGATCCTACAGCAGAAATCGTCTTGAAAAACATAACTAGTTTTCAAGAACAATCTCACAGACGGGTCTTGGAAAATCCAAAGATTCCCACAGACGCTAACATAGTCGCGGCTTAGCAAACCCACATGGTTTTAAATGGCACAACTCAGAAACAGTCACGCCTTAGAAAACCTACTCGGTTTCTAAGAACGCCAGGAAAATTACAGATCAGCTTACAAGCCTTCACTTGGCCTCGGGCCTACCATGGTCATCAGACCTAAAAAATTGGCCTCGGGCCTCTCATGGTCATCGGACCTAACTTTGGCCTCGGGCCTCTCATGGTCATCGGACCTAACTTTGGCCTCGGGCCTCTCATGGTCATCGGACCTAACTTTGCTTACGAGCCTTCAACTGGCTTACGAGCCTTATTGGCTTGCAAGCCTTACTGGCTTTCGAGCCTTACTGGCTTCCGAGCCTTGCACTAGCTTTCGAGCCTTTCACTGGCTTCCGAGCCTTGCACTAGCTTCTGAGCCTTTCACTGGCTTCCGAGCCTTTCATTAGCTTCTGAGCCTTTCACTTAGCTTTTGAGCCTTTCACTTAGCTTCCGAGCCTTCACATATGGCTGACGAGCCTTCACATATTACCATTCACATCACATTACTCACCGAGCCTGATTACCCCCGGGTATTGAGCAGTCTTCATCAACCAGCAGGTCGCAACCATGCTGATCTAAACTCCCAGTGGGAGGGATCAATCATCTCGGTCATGTCATATTATCTGAAGTACCGAGCAGCTTTACCAACCAGCAGGTCGCAACCGTACTGATCTAGGCTCACGGTATCAGATCTAATCACATGTTACTTACTTATTCACGTCATGACACGTTACTAGTCGAGCCTAATTACCCCAAACACCGACATATCTCCCACAACCAGTAAGCCTTAGCCACACTAATCGAGACTATCAATGGACTGGGTCAATCGTCCCGACTAGTTAGCAGGAACAAAATCATATCACCCAATCAATCAGAACAATCCAGCAACTTAACATTTCTACGTTCTATGTCATTCTAGTCAAGCCTAATTTGCACTAGACTGTCCTAGAACCAACCGCGCTCTGATACCAAATAGAAACGCCCTGACCCAGATTTCCTTACCGCAGTAAGGATTTATCCGACAACTTCCTAGTCAGGCTTGGGTATTTTTAAAATTTCCTTTACTTAACGAGGTTCCCCAAACTACTATCCATCTAACCAGTCAACTTAGCAGTTCTAAACAATTATCTTATTCCACACTTAACCAGCTAAACAAATACCTTAGCCATTTGCAGATATCGGATGAACTATTTGTAGTCTCCATGAACAACCAAATCTTCTAAGCCACCATATCAATAATCCAATCACACACCTCTCCTTGTTACTTAGTCACTCAACCAACCATCCTCACATGACCAAGTAACAAAGAGAGGCGGCTTGAATCCTTGATACCTTGCACACCAGTAAGCCCATTCACGGTCATTCTACTCGCCAATCATTCCAGTCACGCAACTCTTGCTTGCAGTCACGTTTATCCCGACCGTAGTCTATGCCAATCCATATTCTCCCGGCTGTAATCGTGCTTCTCCCGACTGTAATCGCATTTCTCCCGACCATTGATCAAATCGCTAGACCATTACCGAGAGATAACAGGAACCGGATCAAATCTCGGATATTCTCTTGACTGAACTGTTCCCCTCGACAATATACTCGATAGGACAACTTTCTCTCGGCAGACTGCCTTCCTTTCGGCGATTCTCCCTTAATACCCACTTTCTGTCGGCTAATCTCTCGGCAAAAGCACTTTCTTTCATAATGTACCACGACATAACCGTTTTCTCCCGGTTACAGTCACCCGTCTCTCAGAAGAATATCTCGGCAGTCTATTTCTCTCGTCTGCAATCGCCACTCTCTCGGCTATTTCCTTCGCCCATCGACTGTTCTCACCGATAATGATCCTCTCCAGTAATTCTCTCGGAGATAGTAACGCTGTAAGCCGTTTCTCTCAGATATAGTAACGATGTAGGACGTTTCTCTCGGATATGGTCACAGATCGTTTCACCGATCTTTGCATCACCAGACTATCATCGCGAGACGTCCGACCGTTCTTCCTTCTTCCCCGAATAACTTAATCTTCTCTCGGATAAAATCCCCTACTCCGATCTTCACTCGGCGATGGTCACGTTTCTCCCGGATATAGTCAAGCATCTCTCGGCTACGCTCGTCACGCATCGGCTATATTCGAGACAACTCTCCCATCATTGGATATCTCTGACTATTCTCGAGAAACTCTCGACAATCTTGTGCAGAATCGCTCTTCTGAGTTTTCTCTCGATGATCACTTCCCAGGATTCTCTCTCCTTTTCTAAGTTAAATGACGGTTCTCGAATATATCTGATCCATAACTCAATCCGCTGCGTTTTACCTCAAGTAACTGAATGCCAGTAACCGTTCCTGCACTTTTTCGCTCGATCAATTAGACTTAGCCGGTCAGATTAATGTTCTCATACTTTAACCGGCAAATTTGGCTTGGTTTACTGAAATAGCCGGCCTGGTTGAAGTTGTCCGAGCAGTTCTCTCGGATATAGCCAATAACTGTTCCCGCCAATCTTGTCCGCGCATTTTTCCAATAACTCCCTCGGATATAACCGCTTCCGCTCGGCTAATTTCATACTTAGCGGATATTTCATAATACATCCGATAATTCCACAAAGTTCCTCGAACATTCCAGCTCGGCTCCGACAAAAATAACCGTCATGTCCGAATCCCGGCCAAAGGCCCGAGAAACACGGTTTGTCCGAAGCTTCCTTGTTCGAATCCCATTTTCACTCGGAGATAATCAGCTCAGCTCAATCCAATAACCGCCTTGTCCGAATTCCGACCAAGTACTCCGAAAAACCCGCATTATCGGAATTTAGCTTGTCTGAACCATAACCCTAGCTAAAACTATCTTTCTTCCGAGAGAAACTGTCTTTCTCTCGACTATTTTGTAAAACTCTCGGCTATCTTCCCATTTCTCTTGAGAACTAGCTGACCAGCTTGATTTCACTCGACCATTCTATCCTGGCTATGACCATAATCCAGCACACCGCTGGATAATTCGGTACTGAGTCTCAAATAGTATCGTCCATAAGTGTAACCCAATTTCAGCCGGTAAGGTTTGCAGAACACGGACGTTACAAAAACCCCCTTCCAGTCCACCTAGAGACTCGACTTACTCGTCTCCTCGTGAACGCAGAATCACGCGAGACTTTTTCACTCAAACCGCATACCTCTCATTGTCCAGATAACGAAATTCAGAAATCCAGCTTCACCAACCCATGTAATCTCATATCCTCCATAAATATCTCGTAATATATATTCGAACAGAAATAAAGATTTAAAATATATTAATAGTTTTGTTAGAGTGTATAACATAAAAAAACTTAATACCTCAAATTTTATTTATTTTAAGATTACAAATCAAAATTTTAAGTGTAAAAGTATTATTTAATTAAAATTTAAAAAATTGGAAAATTAAATACTACTAGAAAATTATTTATAAATTAATATAAATCAAAAAATAAAATATTTAACAATTAATTTTGTATAATAGTTTAAAGATAATAAATAATATTAGAAAAATTGAAAATTAATGTGTTGATGATACCCAAACATGCACTCCTTTATGCTGTAACTTTTAATACCAATTACTATCCACCTCTTTGGATAACATACAAATTTTTGATAATAAATATGTTTTCGAAAAAAAAAATATATGTTAGATATAATAAACTAATACTTTTACTTATTTGTTTCTTTCATATTTGATTTTTGTTTAGTAAATAACACTTTGAAAAAAATTAACTTTTCAATTAGAAAAATACACACTACATTTACATTAAATTCAGCTTCTAATCCGGTTTATAAAATATTAGTTGATATCAATCAAACTCATTTTGCTACAAACAGACCCAAAAATTGCTAATTGCTAGTTTGCTATACCATTTCTGTTTCAGTCCTATAGATTTTTGGCACATCTTTTTTTTTCCCGGTCATTTTTCTCTTAATTTGCCTCCATTTTTCTCAACTCGAGCTTTCTACATCTTCTTCTGTCTCTGAACAAACTGCTAATTCGGTAAGTTAGTCTCCGACTCTTCTCCTTCTTCGACGTCGATTCTTCATCCGCGTTTCACTTGAATCTGCTCGATTTGGAAAGAAAACCCTAGGATTAAACCTCTTAACCATCTCTTCATTTCCTACTTTGAGTTGCATAGCGAAGTTAGGGTTTCGATGCTCGTCGAGTTTAATCCATCGTTTATCTGCTTCGATTGACCTAATAATCTATTGGGTTGTGTTTATATCAACAGGTGTGAGTAGGGACTGACCCTTCGCTATGTATATCAAACTGGTGGGGATTTTTTTCTTCGTCTCTTCCTCTAGATTGTATTTGGAACTGCTTGTATATCTGGTTTTGAATTTCTTCTGGGGTTTCGGATTTGTTTTGGTGAAGGTTATAATCGAAGGATTCAAGAGCTACAAAGAGCAAGTTGCTACTGAGGATTTCAGCCCCAAGGTTAACTGCGTTGGTAATGTCTCTATTTGCGAACTTCCCTGATTGATCTCCGATGGATTAAGTTTGCCATTGTTATACACTTTTGATTCTCTTGTTCGATTTCGTCGTTAGGTAATCGAGGTTAATTGTTGTTGTGCCTATGCATCCTAGTTCTCACTAGTTTCTGGATCGTTGGTTGATGGATTTTGATACGCCGTGTCTCATCTTCATCTTTGATTGGAGTCTAAACTTGTTATTGAAGTCGAGGTTAATTGTTGTTCTAACAGATACTTTATTTTGCTGCAGTTGGGGCAAATGGGTCTGGAAAAAGCAACTTCTTCCACGGTGAGATTGAGCTGCTTTGATCATCGTTTTCGAGACATTTGTTCTTTTGTTGTATGCAAAGAAGGAACCTCCGATTTTTTAGATTCTCAGTGAATTCTTTGTTTTGAATGCAGCAATTCGTTTTGTGTTGAGTGACATCTTCCAAAATCTGCGGAATGAAGATAGGCATGCATTACTCCACGTATGTCCACAAGTTTTTAGCAGATTTCAAAGTTCCTCTGTTGAGTGCATCTTATGATATTCTCTGAATCTGCTAACTCCGAGCCTGCTATTGAACAGGAAGGTGCTGGTCATCAAGTTGCGTCTGCGTTTGTGGAGATTGTGTTTGATAATTCTGACAACCGCATCCCGGTAATAAATCCTTGCCTAAAAATTGTTCTGTGAGGGGCAGATTTCTTTTGTTTGATGAAATAGATGTTCTTGTTTATTGTTGGTGATGAACTTTAGCACTGCCATCTACTAATATTTCTGTCTGCTAGAAGCTGGAAATATTAGATCCGTCATTTCTTAGTCTAGTGTTATAGGTTAATTTACATGGCTTCATGTCAAACATTTAAATTTGAAGTCCCATTTAATTTTATAAAACCGTCATCACTTTCTTGGCTACTTATAGGGTGTATTTTTAAGTCATAACTAACCTTCTGAAATGATGTGTATATTTTAGCCGCACCTTTGAAAATCAAAACACTAAGGCTTTCCCCCTGAATGCAAAGTAGTTTTAAAAATGGTACAAAGTATTTGTTCTCTTATCTGTGGCTTATGCTTCTCCACTAGGTTGATAAGGAAGAAATGCGTTTGCGCCGAACGATTGGTCTGAAGAAGGATGAATATTTCTTGGACGGGAAACACATTACGTGCGTAATTTTTCTTCAAGTCTTCACACTCTTTTCCATTTTCCTATTTCGTGGATGGGTGAAAACGTTTTTTACAAAATTTGCAGAAAAAGTGAAGTTATGAATTTACTGGAGAGTGCTGGATTTTCTCGTTCCAATCCTTACTATGTTGTTCAACAAGGAAAGGTAAGCATCTGCAAGAGAAGACATACTTGGATTAATCTTGTGTTGCCAAGAACCTTAGAGAAGCTAATGTGGGCTAACAAGTTTCCGTAGTTTTAATGCGTTTTTGTGTGGTACTTTTGTAGATAGCCTCATTGACACTGATGAAAGACCCAGAACGGCTGGATCTGCTAAAAGAGATTGGTGGTACCCGTGTTTACGAGGAGAGGCGCCGTGAGAGTTTAAAAATTATGCAGGATACAGGCAAGTTATGAGTTAACAATATGCAGAATAGCGGAATCTCGTTTAATTTTCCCGTGCATGCATGGGTACTTCAAGAGTCTAATACAACCTAATGACTTGTTTCCCAGGAAATAAACGAAAGCAGATCATCCAAGTTGTCCAATACTTAGATGAAAGACTAAGGGAATTGGACGAAGAGAAAGAGGAACTCAGAAAATATCAACAACTTGACAAGCAGAGAAAATCACTCGAATACACCATTTACGACAAAGAGCTTCACGATACTAGGGAGAAACTAGAACAGGTCAGCCAATAAAATTAGGCTTACAATGATGTCCTTCTAGATTTGTCCAGTGAACTTGATGCTCCTTATAATATAAAAATTAAATATTGTTGGGCTTTCTGTTGCTATTGCTACTTCAGTTTTAATGTTTTATGTGGCTTTGCCAGACTCTGAGCTTATTATTTTATCGGTTCGCTCATCACTGGTTTTACCTTTTCTACATCTGGGCATGTTATGTCATGATCCAGGTAGAAGTTGCAAGAACTAAGGCATCTGAAGAGTCTACAAAAATGTATGATAGAGTTGAGAAGGCCCAAGACGAGTGCAGGAGCTTAGATGAATCGCTGAAAGGACTGACGAAGGAGCTTCAGACATTGAACAAGGAGAAAGAAATTGTTGAAGCAAGAAAAACTGAAGCTATAAAGAAGAAGACAAAACTGGAGCTGGATGAGAATGACTTTAAGGAACGGATTGCTGGAAATATCCAATCTAAGGTACTACTAACTTGATGGCTACACATGTGGTCACACAAGCTGATACTCATGGGAAAGAAAATTACCTCACTATGTATATTTCTTATGGCGGCAAATGAACGTCTATTTGATTTTCTATATACTTATGGATAATGTGCACTAATGAAGTACTATGGCTTTCAGAAAGATGCCCTTGAGCAACTTAATATGGTGGAAAGAGAGATGCAGGATTCTGTGAAGGAATTAGAGGCGATTAATCCTTTGTATGAAAGTCAAGTTGACAAGGAGAAGCAGACAACGAAAAGGTAGGCCTATATAGTATCAGTGCAACGTGGAAATTAGCTTTGTTCGTGCTGAAATGAGTGGGTTGTATGTTGCAATAGGCCCCGTGCTTGAGGGAAGCAATAATAGTATAGCAAAAAAACATTTGGGGTAAAGTTAGGTGCTGAGTTATAATGGGGAGTTCTTGAAATTGTTTTCTTTTCTTTTTTATTAGAGTCCTCTTACATTAATATTCACTGTTTATGTTTTTTTCTTACAGAATCATGGAGCTGGAGAAGAAGCTTAGTATTCTTTATCAGAAACAGGGCCGTGCAACTCAGTTTTCAGATAAAGCTGCTCGAGACAAATGGCTCCAGAAGGAGATTGAAGATCTTAAGCGTGTTCTAGACTCAAATCTGGCTCAAGTGAGTTTACATTGTCAAATATGGAAGATGCATCATAGCATAGTTATATTACATGATTCGGCAATGTTTTAAGGCTGAAAAGATGGAAAATTGGCCAAAACATGTGTATTTCTATGGCATATATGGAATCAGTTTCATATGGTTGATGATATAACATGTTTCTTCTATTGTAGGAGCAAAAACTTCAGAAAGAAATTCTTGCCCTCAATACTGATTTGACAGAGCGAGATGCACACATCAAGGAACATGAAATTGAAATTGGTGAACTGGAATCTCAAATTTCCAAGTCCCATGAAAATTTCAATAATAAAAAGATGGAGAGAGATGAAGGACAGAGGAAAAGAAAGTAAGCCGTGCTGTCATTTCCATACCTGTTAGCTATATTGCCTGTTAGCATAGTAGACAATTTTTTTTTTAATATAACAGGAGATGTGTTAACAGGGAAAAATGGGGAGAAGAAAGTGAGCTATCGTCTGAAATTGAGAAGTTGAAAACGGAACTTGAAAGGGCAAAAAAAAACCTTGATCATGCAACTCCAGGGGTGAGTGATTGATTGGATTTGCTATCTCTTTTCTTGTTGCTGACAACAATAATGTATATATTCAAGAGTAGTTGATGCATTAGATCCATCCAATGTGCTGACCTTACATCTCAACTAGTTTGAAGTAACTTGTTTGCCATTTTTAGTTTTTGTTCTGGTGACTCAGCACATTCATTGTCTCAGGATGTAAGGCGAGGGTTGAGTTCTATTAAACGGATTTGCAATGAGTATAGGATCAATGGAGTTTTTGGTCCACTTGTTGAGTTGGTTGATTGCGAGGAAAAGTTTTTCACTGCAGTTGAAGTCACTGCTGGAAACAGGTATGGGGGAAACCTGCTAATCTTTACCTCACAGCTACAATTACCAAACTGTTCACTATTTAGCTCAACTTTTTACCTTATGATCTGCTCTTTTCATCTCTTGTTGTACAAGCAGCCTATTTCACGTGGTAGTTGAGAATGATGAAATTTCAACCAAGATAATTAGACAACTCAATGCTCTAAAGGGTGGACGGGTGACCTTCATACCCCTGAACCGGGTAAAGGCGCCTCACGTAAACTATCCACAAAGTTCTGATGCAATACCACTGCTAAAAAGATTGAAATTCGACTCCAGATTTGCACCAGCATTTGGCCAGGTGCTCCTTTCGTTCTCTCTCACCTTCTGAGCTAAATCATGTGCCTTTCTGTTCTCATATGGCCTACTTATATTTAAATGTGTCTTTATGTAGGTTTTTGGTAGAACAGTAGTATGTCGGGATCTGAATGTGGCAACAAGAGTTGCTAAGAGTGATGGCTTGGATTGCATAACTTTGGAAGGTTGGAACTAAAAATGTATATATATTTACTTCCCGTTTGAACATGTATTTGGTGCCTAAAGGTTCTGGTGTGCCATGACAGGTGACCAGGTGAGCAGAAAGGGTGGCATGACCGGTGGATTCTATGACCATAGGCGGTCGAAATTAAGATTCATGAATACCGTAATACAAAATACAAAGACTATAAATACGAAGGAGAAGGTGTTGGAAGATGTTAGAAAACAGCTGCAAGATATCCTTTCCATAACTGCCTTTGGTTTATTGATTTCATTTTCGCTTTAGGATGAACTATTTATCATATTTCTCATTGATTGAGTGTGTTTCTTTTTAACGTTTCCATGCCAACAGTTCTTCATGCGTTTTACTTAACTTGTCTCACTGATAGATCAGCAGATCACGCAGTCTGTTACTGAGCAGCAGAGACTTGAAGCAGAGTGGACGCATAGAAAGTTAGAGGTGGAGCAACTGAAGCAAGAGATAGCTAACGCAAATAAGCAGAAACATGCTATACGTAAAGCCCTTGAAAACAAGGTTTCATTCTTTTATGCCCTTTTTTTTTTACTTTTTGATTCATTATTCAAGCGGCCTTCAATGTTAGATATATATTTTTCCCATGCTGTACATACTAAATTTCTTCACCTGTTTTCAGGAGAAATCATTAAGTGATATTAGATCACAAATTGATCAGCTAAGATCTAGCATGGCCATGAAGGAAGCTGAAATGGGAACGGAACTTGTGGATCACCTAACCCCAGAAGAAAGGGAGCAATTGTCACGGTTGAACCCCGAAATCAAAAATCTTAAGGAAAAACTTGTTGCGTACAAGACAGATCGCATTGAGGTTGGCAGTGAAAACAATAACGAAAAAGATAGTTTTGATTGTTTGTTTTCTCTTTGAGTTGATTTCTGATTTATGTGCTTTTCGTTACAAACAGAGGGAGACAAGAAAAGCAGAGTTGGAGACTAACTTGTCTACCAACTTAAAGAGGAGAATAAATGAGTTACAGGCTACAATAGCTTCCATCGAGGATGATAGTTTGCCTACTTCAGCTGGCTTAAAAACACAAGAACTTGAGGATGCAAAATTGTTGGTTGAAGAGGCCACGAACGAGCTCGAAAGTGGGTTTTAGACATTCTGATCTACATTGCTTTACATTGTTTGAGCTGCCTTTTACTATCTGGAAGAGTACACTCATTACCATTTTATGGTCTTAGGTCTCTGTCGCAGCATTGATGAGAAGACTAAGCAGGTCAAGAAAATAAAGGACGAGAAAGCAAAGTTGAAGGTAATATAGTCCGTAGCTTAAGAGAACATCGTTTTTCCTATATGTATCTGACACAAAATTTATTGTTCTCTCAGGCATTGGAGGATGATTGTGAGATGACAGTGCAAGATGCAAATAAAAAGTTGGAGGAACTATTCAGCCTTCGTAACTCACTCCTTGCTAAGCAAGAAGAGTATACAAAGAAGATTAGGGGATTGGGTCCATTGTCATCTGACGCTTTTGACTCGTATGTTTGCTTATTCTCTTTCATATTGCTCCTGCATCCATCCTACTCGGCTCTCCTCTTTACTTTTGTTTGTCAATTCAATTGAAAACTTTTACAGTAATACTGTCGTTAATTTCCATCTATCCGAGTACTAGTTCTTTGATTTTTCTCGGGACCGAGGAGTTTTATCATATGATAAGTTTTGGTCTATTATAGGTATAGACGGAAAAATATCAAGGAGCTGCAGAAGATGCTACATCGGTGCACTGAACAGCTGCAGCAATTCAGCCATGTAAACAAGAAAGCGCTTGACCAATATGTAAATTTCACAGAACAACGAGAAGAACTTCAGAATCGGCAAGCAGAGCTTGATGCAGGAGATGAGGTAAAATAATGGGAGGTTCCATACTCTTCACCGGATTCTGTTGTAGAAAGTAGAACACGACTGACACATTTGACGATTCTGCAGAAAATTAAAGAACTGATAACAGTTCTGGATCAGCGGAAAGACGAATCTATAGAACGTACTTTCAAAGGTGTTGCACGTAACTTCCGGGAAGTATTCTCTGAGCTTGTGCAAGGTGGACATGGTCACCTCGTCATGACGAAGAAAAAGGCATATTTCTGCTTCCCTTTCCTTGATAACACTTTCTCCTCTTGTGAATTTTACACTGAAATTATTAGCTAAATTTTGAGAGTAGAGTTGAACGAGATAAATTGAGTGTTCTTAACAAGCTATCTGCATAGATTCTCTAGTGAGCCTTAAGTGTGGAAGTATATGCCTCGTATTAGAATATATTCGCCATCTTACTAACATTTCCTTGTCTCCTATTGCATGACTGTTTCTTCTGTCTTATGCTTGTGTGATCTTCTTATCAATCAATTGGGTGAACATGAAACATTTCGGGTGCATATACAGGACCGTGATCACGATGATGAAGACGATGACGATGATGGAACTCGTGAAGCTGCTACAGAGGGAAGGGTTGAGAAATACCTTGGCGTAAAAGTGAAGGTACAGAAATACTACTATAAAGAACGGTGCATCCTTATCCCTTTGTCTAGGTTTCAGGCTGATTACATTTGGCATTTGTTTGGTCAGGTCTCGTTTACTGGTCAAGGTGAGACCCAGTCAATGAAGCAATTGTCAGGAGGCCAAAAGACCGTTGTGGCCCTCGCGTTAATCTTCTCCATCCAGCGATGCGATCCTGCACCATTCTATCTATTCGATGAGATTGATGCAGCACTTGATCCTCAGTACCGAACTGCTGTCGGAAGTATCCTTTTCTATTTATCGTTATTATCTTTTCTGCAACTTTCTCACACATGCTTAAAAATTACAATTCCTTAACCAAACGTTTTTTTTATTAGACATGATTCGTCGTTTAGCTGATGATACGGTGAGCACGCAGTTCATTACCACAACTTTCCGACCTGAGCTTGTGAAAGTTGCGGATAAGATATATGGAGTGTTTCATAAGAACAGAGTGAGTATTGTGAATGTTATATCAAAGGACAGAGCGTTGGACTTCATTGAGAAAGATCAGTCTCATGATACTTGATCATCACACTCAGGTTGGTTTACTCTTTCTTTCTCTTAGCACTCTCTCAAGAGTTTGTATGTAAAAAAGCTGAATAACTGATTTTGTTGTCCAGGGAAGGTTTGGTGCATTTGCATGTCTTGAAAGAGCTTGTGTGACACTTTGTTTAAAGTGGATTAACATTTTATCAGGTTTGCTTCTAGGAGTTTATTATCTATATCTAATGTGCAGTTCAGATTATCTAATTATTTGTATAATTGTCTCTAAGTAATACCTGAAAATAACGGTTTTCTTTTATCATATCCAATTAGCTTATTGGTTTATATGAGTTGGGGTTTTTTGTAGATTCTTGAGCACATCATAATAGATCCGAACACTTGCCCAACCAGAATAAAGAAAAAGAAAAAAAGAAAAATCCAGTCAACACCTTACGGCACGAGCTGACGATAGCCATGCACCACCACCTGTGCCATAAATAAACCCGAACGCTCAAAAAATCCGTTGGACTCTTTTTCTTTTATTTTATTTAGAGGTTCTTAAAACTATCCACATCAGATTTTTAAAACTATTCTCTATTTTTGCTACATGAGCAAGAAAATATTAATAAAAAAACTCATTTTAGATTTTTTTCAAAAATATATATAAAATAAATAAACATAACCACTAAAACTAATATATTTATTAACAAAAATTAAATAAAATTAAAATATCATTTTTAAATCAGTAGAATAAATATTATTTAAATCTATAGTATTAATATATACTTTTTTTTTCTAATATAATGAGTATTTTTAAAAAAAAATTGTTCCAAATAAATTTAAATAATAGTTAATAGATAGAAGGTTACAAAATAGTAATTTTTAAAAAACAAATTTAAACATTCACAATTTAGAAAGATCTAAAACGTTCATCTTTTAGAAACATAGAAATTATATACATAACAAAATAAATAAATAAAATTTGAAATTAACATAACTGTATTTCACATACGTGGATACAAAATTATCTATTGTCTCTACAACGATAAACTTATAAAACTTTATGAATATATTACTTATTACAAAAATATATACAATACATTTAAAGAAAAATAGACTGCCATAACTCCATCTTGAACATTAATATATTATATTTCTATATTTAAAATATAACATACAAATTTTTATATAAAAAAAATGTCAGAAAAACATCTCTAATCATCTACATCAACAAAAAAAAAAAATCTCTTACTAACTCAACATGTAAGGATAACTAATATGATTTTTTTTTGTTAAGAAACTCTTTTAAAATAATGTAATATATATTATTAATTTAATTATAAAAGCTCATCAAAATATATGTATAGTGTAAGAAAAATATCTAAGTTAAATCTACAAGTCAAATGCAAATAAACTTTTTAAACCTTTTGAGTTTTATAAAAACTCAACACACTTTGTTTAAAAGAATGAGTTAGTATGAAATTGTATTTGTATATGTTTTACTTGTTATATTCATCTATACTTCTATAGTTTACAGATACTTCAAAGACCAAATTAAAATAGCAGTTTATCAATATGATAGTGATTTTGTATACTATGTAAATGTTGTTTTTATTCATATGAGCAATAGTTCTTTTACAGATTTATAAGAGTTTAGAATATTGATTGTTGTTTCGTATTTGACACTGCTAATGAAATAAAAACACTATACAAACACAATAATCAGATGCTTTGGTTGTACTACTATACTTAACAAGTTATTTTATTTTTATTTAAAATGAAAAATGAAAAGTTGTTTTTAAATTAAATAATATAAAAACTTATAGTTGTTGAGTTCAATTATATATCAAATTTAATTAAAGCAAAAATATTTATTGTAATATTTTAAAAATTGGTGAATAACAATGAGTTTATATACAGATATTAAGTTTTAGATTAACAATTAATTTTCACTTATATCAAATTAGTAAATTTTTTAAATTAAATTATAATACATTTTTCGAATACATTTAAATTATTTTTGATGTGTAACCACATCAAAACAATATTAAAAATTAGTTTTCAAATAATATATTTAAAGTTAAAATAAATAATTTAAATATTTATTAAATAATTATAGAAATAATCTGCGCTAGGCGCAGAAATATCCTTAGTAAATAAAAAATTCCCCAGCCGGGGGCGGAGGGAATTTTCGATGGAGCGGTGAAATGGAAACGGATCTTAATGCCAGAGAATAGAGTTTAAATTAAAATAATAACAGCCTTCAAAGCTTTAATTGAACCAAAATCGAATCGAATCTAATGTAATTTAAAATCCATGATAAAGTATAGTTTAAACAAAGTGTAATCATCAAACCAAGAAAACAAAAGATAATGTGAAGAAGACACTAATTCATCAAAAAAAACTCCAATCGTATTGTAAGGATTAATCAATTTGATTTCATCAATCAATTATTAAACCAACATACAACGACCCACAATCATAAACCAATTATTAAACCAACATACAACGACCCTTCAAATATTACAAATAAAACTTCCATGGGTCTTGCATTTCATTAGCGGCTTAGCCACTAATTAATCTTGACTGAAAAAACGGAACGGACCAAATGGTAACCATCTGACCACTCTAAGGATCCATGATGATAATCCTTTGATGCACTCTCTTTCCCGTAGAACCAAACCTTAAATGAAACCTTGCTCACGTTTTCTCCAAACACAACTCTCTTTGGTTCAACATTAACCACCAATCCCTCTGGAGCCACGACGTGGACCACGTACGTCACATTCTTCTCCGGTCCAACATTTGTGACGGTTCTCTCGATCACCCTACGGTAACGTTGGCCGCGACGCAGATTCCCAATAGAGATTGATGGGTAATTGATGGTGGAGATAAGATCTTTAGAAACCTTCTTGGAGCAACTGAATTTAGTATTGGTGAGTTTTTTGCTTATGGTTTTTTGTGAGTAGCCGTAGTAGCAAAGGAATTGGAGATAATCGTGTGCGGTTGTCTCAAAGATAAGCCCCGGGTTTACTGCTCGGTGAGGATTGATTTCTCCGGCACCGGTTTCGTGAGGCGTTGATGTGAGCCCTGAGGTGTTTGTCACTGGTCTTCTCATGTTGTCATATGATATTGCTAACATCAAACCAAATATAAAGTAAGATACCGTCTCAAACTAAATGCTTTCATGCAAATGTCATTTTATCAAATGTTGTAAAATGTTATTACAAAAGTTACGCTCTCCGATTTTATATACATAACCAAAAATATTATTTTTAAAAAATGTTAATATTGGAATTAAAAATGGCAAAGCGAAAAAAATGAAGACGATGCAAAACCTGTGGTCATGAGAGCAGATTTGATCATGGAGGGAGTCCAAGAAGGGCGAAGAGCCTTGACGAAAGCGGCTGCTCCGGTCACGTGAGGGCAAGCCATGGACGTTCCTGACCTTAACCCATACTCACGAGTGGATCGTTTAGCTGTTTCGGCCGGAAGCACAGCCGCCAAAATCAAAACGCCGGGTGCCATTATATCAGGCTGAGAACATTACACACTCGTTAGTGAATAAGGAGTTTGCTTGAAACGTGTAGAATGATCAACATGGAAACGTAGTGGACGAGATTTGATCCACACAATAAGAAAACAACTCAATACTAAACCTTGAGAATGTTCTCTGTTAGAGACGCAGGGCCTCTAGACGAGAAGGGTGCAACGACAGGTGCAGGTCTAGTGCGTTTGACCTCAACGGTTGGAACAATCGTAACGGTTGGATTCTTGGTGTGAAGAATATACTTGAGAATCTTGTAGCCATCAGTCATATCAACTTCTGAGTGAGAGAATGGACCTGAATCCGAAGCTATAATCTGCTCCTTTTTGTTTATCAGAATCAAACCTTTGCTTCCAGCATCCTCTAGTATCGCCCTTAGAATTTTCTTTGTTATACCCGAAGTGCTTGACCTCACACAAACAACAACCTTCCCGGTCACTTTCTTCGGATCCAAGGATCCAGGAAGACAGTTCCTACATTTTCAAACATATATATAAATATACAATCTTCACCTTCTTTAAATAGTAGTGAGAGAAGCAGAAGATTAGAATATATAAAACCTTGCATCTTCAACAGATGTAGATGCAGCAGCCGCATTTCTTGCATACACAAGAGGGTATGCTTTAGATCTTGTGCCACTGGGGAAATGGATCCCTGCTCCCTGCAAGCACACCCAAACAATGATAAATTCATATTCTACCTTTTTTTTATTGATGATTGTTAGTGCATTTATCATGGTATCAGAATCCATGCTTAATATAAATTAGAAGATGAATGAGATTCAGTTCAAGATAAATTAAAAGATGCATCATTTCTATGAGATATGCTAGAAATCTTGTGTTGGATATAATATAAAGAGCCTAATCTAGTCTATCAAATTACGGATTAATTCGCTAATTGTCAATTAGTTTTGAGTTTAAAGTTTTGAAATGTACCGGAACCTTATAGCTTCGCAAGATCTCTATGATATATGTTAAGAATCCTATATTAAATTTATATCAAAAGATCCTAATTCACTATCTAAAAATCATTAATTAAGTAATTAGTTTTGAGTTGAAACTGTACTAATGTACTTACTCCTAACACTTTGCCGCTGCCGAGTATGATAGATGATTGAAACTCTCTGTCAATGTTGGAAGCAGCCACCGTAAACATCCATGGTGCCACGTTGGTGACGGTAAAAGCGTCGGGGCCATCGTTCCCCGCAGAGGCAATGAACATAACGCCTTTGAGCTCTGCGTGGAAGGCTCCGATGGCGATTGGGTCGGACAGATAATCTGGTTTGTTTGCAGCACTCAAGCCAATGGAAAGGGAGATGAGGTCAACGCCGTCATTGATCGCATCATCGATGGCTTTTAACATGGCGGAGCTGGAGCAACCGTCGTCTTGGCAAACCCTGTAGACGGCAATCCTACACCCTGGCTGGCCTCCCTTGGCCGTCCCACGAGCAAGGCCACGGTAACTGGCTCCATCAACAAACGCTCCAGCCGCCGTGGAGGCCGTGTGAGTCCCATGACCGTTGAAATCTCTTGGTGACTTGGCTTCGGCTGATTTGTAATATCTTGCTCCGATCAACTTTCTACATTTTCCACACCTTATATTCGTAAAACATCACTCTCTAATGTACACACATTAATATATATTTACAATATGTGTTCTAGTAATACATTTAAAATTCTTATAAATAACTGTACTTTTTTATTCATATTTTTATTTACATTCTATCTAAAAGAAGTAAAACAATTAAAACATCAAAAACGTTTACAAAAATATGTGATTAATCAGATAGATATCATAAATATATATATTTCTTTTCAAAATGACGCGGTAAAAAAAGTAGGAAAATATAGATGTGATTTCGCAGGCTTCTAAATCAAGTAAGGCGATACCATGTAAAATAGACAATCATCGAATAAACTAATGTAATATGATTTGCTTAAAACATACTATCAGAAATCATACTATTTTCAAAAAATTGACGATTTTGACACGGCATCCTTTTTTGCAAGTAATTAAGGGCCAAAATTAGGTTATCTACTACCTAGTGCATCTTTGATGTAAACATGTAAAAGTATAAAAATAATTTGGAAGAGACCTGTTACAGCTGGATTTGTTGAAGTCGGGACCTTCCATGCAAGTACCCTTCCACTTTGAAGGTATTTCTCCAAACCCTTTATCATTGAAACTTGGAGACTCTGGCCATATCCCTAAATATTTTTTGGATTTAGCCATATGCCAATATAAGGATTGTTTCACAATCTATTGTATCTATAAGATATAATTTTTCGAGATTTCCGATAGGCTGTGGCGACAAATAAAATATCTCAAATAGGGGGATCTAGTTAATAGTGAATTTCTTATGCCAAGTATATTTCTAATTGTTATTATAATTTCTTTACAAATCATCACAAATTAATGTTCTTAATTATGTCTAATTAGTATACAATATGGGGTTTCTATTTAGAAATGTGAATGTTGTTCTTTCACATGACCTTCCATTTAAAAGAAAAATCCAGAGTTTTTTTAAAATATATATTTAAATTTTAAATTATAGTTAATAATTTAATCGACACTGCATAGAACGTCCAAATACTTTGGGACTTTTTTTTTATTTTGTGTCATCGCTTTAGACGTTTATTATTTTTAGTAATATGTATATTGTGTTTGTATATAGATTGAGGGCCGTCTATATATTAGGATTATGAGTATCGTCACGTAGCATTCTCACCGGTATCCACAACGCCAATTATGATATCAGATGATCCATGAACATTATTATATATTGGAAATGAAGAAGAAACTCCAGAAAGAGAGTCCAAAAAGTCCCAAGACCGAGTTGTGTGAAGTTGCAGTATCGGATCTTCGAACACCGACACCACCTCATCGTGTTCTGCAATTACAAACACATAACTCACCATTTTTATTACAATAATATACTATAATGCACCCTTTAAGTTAAAGGCTTTAACCTAATTATATCATTATTGTAACTTGCTTTATGTTTAGGGCACTGATTAGCGTAGGCCAGTACACACATGCAGATATATATAAACCATGCAAACAACAGCATTGTTTTTTCAAAACAAAAAACAGCATATTTTTATAATAATAAATGAAGAATCACACACACATATATATATATATATATGTATATAATAGCATGAACAAACAAAACACTGATCTTTTTCTTAGGATTATATATTTATTATCTGGCTAATTAAGCAAACTTTTTGTGCAAGAAACTGTTTATTTTAATATGCATATACTTTAAAAAAAATTCCAGGTTCATTCATGAAATATATATTTAGCATCTACTTAATAATTGGCTCCAAACAAAGATACGTTATAGTGGTCCATAATACAAAGTAGTCATAAAAGTCCTCGTTTCATTAGATATAATTATATTCTTTTGGAAAGTTGTAATTTTTTTCTTAATTACACTACCGCACAAGAATTATATAGTTCAAGCACTATCATAACCAACGAATTACTATTTTTAAGGTATATATATAGTAAATGGTAATTGAGTACCAGAAATGGCTGCGGCTTCTTCTTCTGTAAGCATAGCGGAGAATCCTCTAAAGGCATGCTTGTAATGATGTACTCCTTTTCTTCTCTCACTCTCTTCCCTACACAATCATCATTAATATTCCGTCTCAGTCGATAGTTACACAATCTACACATTAAAAATACTTGTTCGTAATTTCACTTTTTCTTTTTCTTTTTGGTTTGTAGACTTTTAGCCAAGAATTGCCAAGATCTTCTACTCTCGTTCTTTCTTTGGTATTTCACTTAGTTAAAATTTAAGGAAAAAAATGGTCTAAGGATACAAACCCTAATTAATTTTATATAAAAAGGATTCAAACCCTTAATTTTAACAAGAAAAAGGGCCTTAGACAATTTAACTACTACAATAAAAGACAACTGCCCCCAAATCTTCTGCACATATGTAGATAATAAGGAAGATATATATATATATATATATATATATATATATATATATATGTAACCTCGGAAGAAGAGTGTCCAACATCTGGAGATAAGAAGCTTCTTCGTTATGCACATCAGCTTCAATGGGCCTGCCCATGTACACTATATAATGCTACAAAGAAGTTCCACATGTATGTTGGGATTACAGATTAAAACTAATCAAGAATGTTTGAAATAGAACCAATTCGAAGAATATAAAATGACAAAAGAGGCTTAGTTTTAAGTAAGATTTAGTTACCTTGGGAGTTTGTAGTGAGGAAGTGGATGTGAAGAGAAGAGATGTGAAGAGGATCACAATTAGGGAAGAGGAAGAAGAAAAATACATTGTAGACATACTGAGACAGAAGATGTCTTCGCTTTGGTATGTCTCTGCATCTTTATGTATATATATACGCACACGCACTCAGGGGCGGATGCAGAAATAATATTCATTGGAGGCAATATTAATATTGTATAAAGAAATAAGGGTAGAATTGCAAAGGACTCATGGGGCATTATCAAAATTGCTTACAAATTATATGAAAATTTTTAAAAGTACTGCCCCCCTCTTGTTCAACGTGGTTCCGCCTACTCAACCTTGTCGTAGTATTATAATTTTTTTAATTAAAATAGTTGTAGCCATAAAGATTAAGTAGAAACCATGCAATTTATTTTTATATAAAATATTATAGTTATATACTAAAAACTATGTATTGTGACATTAACAGCAAATTGCTTTGTTAATTTCATACTTACTCACGAAATATAAGTATGTCCCAATCTAGAAAAAGAAACGAGCTATTGTGAAAAATGCTCTCTAGTGGTTATTTTATTTGTCTTAAAAGTTTTTATGTAGATAAACGAGCTATTGACGTATTGGAACTTATAGAGCCATAATCCATCTAACCAAACAGCTTTTTATATCAATCTTTTTAATTTTCATTTACTGTTGAGAGTTAGATAATATATTATATATACAATATACTTATTTAATTAGAGGTTAAGGCTATTGTTTCACCAACTTTGCTGACCATGCAATATTAATAACTGTTGATCACACACTCTATAAGATTATATAGCTAGTTTGAACTGCGGCTCAAGATTGTAAGGCAACAATCCACTAAAATGTAAATCCTAGAGACTTCTGTTTAAGATTTATGAATTTGTATAAGTTCAATTATTATAATGTAAACAGTAGTTGATGCGACGTATTAACTAAAAAAACGGAAGCAAATAAAAGGGGGAATTGTTGAAAATAATCTAAAAATTGGATTTTTCAAAAAGTTTGGACCTCCTATTGAATGTTTGACAAAACTAACCTAAATGGATAATGAAATTACAGTTTAATTCTTTATGAGTAAACAAAAAACGTCTGCCACAGTTACAATTTTATCTCTGTGAAGTATATGTAAGAAGTCTACTATTTTAGACTTCTAAAGAAATTTACTTTTGTAGACTGTTAAAGAAGTCTACATAAGCAGACTTCACAAGAAATCTACTACATAATTATATTTTAAAAGTTAATTAGAAAATATAAAATAAATAATTTTTTAAAAAATTGGTAAACATAAATAAGACAAATATATTTGACATGTATAGAATACAAAATTTCATACAAATGAATCAATTTACACGTAGAAAGAAAAATTAATTAGAAAACAGCACAACCCATTAGAAGTCTACTATAGAAGTCTATTAGATAACTAAATCTTAAATTTTATTTATTAAAATTATAAAACATATTATGATACAAAAATTATAAACATAACGGAAATATAGTCAATTGGCATATATATTAAATAAAATTTCATGAAAATAAATAATTTTATAAGTTTCATTAGTACAAGGTTGAAAAGGGTTAGAGTTTGAGATTTAAAGTTTAGGGAATTGTTAGGGTAAACCCAAATTCTATATGAATCATAGTTTATGGTTTGGTTAATGATTAGAGTCCATATCATTGTTATTTGAACTTTAAAATGTGAAAATGGTAAGAAAATTAATGTTTTGATACAAGTTTAAATCAAAAATATTTGATTTAGGGTTTAGGGTAAACAGACTTATGCAGTAGACTTCTCGGGTAGACTTCTTCAGTAGACTTCTCCAGTAGACTTAAAAAAAAGTAGCGGGAAATCGAAATTATCTAACAATTTGGACGGGAATCAGAACAAATTGGGCGGGAATCGAAATCAAAAAAATATACTGAAGTAGACTTTTCGAGTAGAATTATCTACTTAACCGAAAATGTTTCTATATATAAGGAGATTAACCTAATTGTGTTAACAATAAAGTTTTTCTCTCCCTCTAAAAAATGCATCTCTCTCCTCTACCTCCTCTCTGGCCATGAATCTCTTCTCCTTCCTCTCTTGCCATCAATCTCATCTCCATCCTCCATCCTGTCTATCTTGATTATGGTGATAGTAAGCAAATCTGAGGTTTTGTGTTTCTTTTGTTGTTTGCTTTGTGTTCATATTGTAAATCTGAGTTTATTATTACATATTTGAGTTTATTGTTGTAGATCTGAGTTTATTTTTGCAAATATGTGCTTATTGTTGTATAAATTTTGTAGAATTTGTTGCAGATTTGATTTTGTTTATTTTGTTGCAGATCTGAATTTTGTTGATTTTGTTGCAGATCTAGAATTGTTTTTGTTGCATAGCTGATTTATTTTTGTTGCTGCAAATATGATGTTTGTAAATATAGAAGATTTTGTTGAAATCTGAATTTCAACATTTTTTTTTCTTATTGTGCAGATCTGAGCTTATTTATTTCTCTTTTGGTTTTGTTGGAAGCAGTTCTAAGCCGCAGACTTCTCAAGCAAACTTTAGCCACATACATCTATTTCATACATTTTGTTTTTATACGCCAATTTTAAGATTTAAAATAAGTGACCCTTAAATGTTTGTTTGTTTAGAAGGTCTACTTTATATGCAATGTTGGATTGCACTGAATGTTATTTATCATATTCTTAAATGATGTGTGTTTATCATATTCAGCTTTCATATGCAGACATCTTTGTCATACTTTATATGTAGACTTCTTGATTAGACTTCTTTAGTAGACTTCGCAAGTATACTTATATTACATAACATATCGTCATCACCAAACTTCTTCCTTGACATCTTACTTAGTCATCACCACCTTTGAACCTCTAATAACACAAGAAAATTTATTCAATTTTAACTATACAAAAACATGTAAAACTCATAACAAAAAAATATATGTAAAACTACTTAGAAATGCCACAACTAGTCGTTCTTCACTCATTCTCTATAAACAGTGGGTATGTGAACTATTCTCTGTAAGAAAAAAAAATTCATACCACATTAGAAATCATTGTCGAAAAAGTAGATTGCAAACAAAGTCTACTATGTAGACTTCAAATGAAGTTTGCAGACTATTAAGATAAATACCAAATAAAAGAAGAAAATTAATGAAGGCTAAAATTTTTTTTAAACTCATACATAAGCAAGAACAATAAATATCACACACTTAAGAGTCAGATAATAAATTTTATTTGTTACAAATATCTGATCAATTAATTTATAAAAATTTAATGTTGCAGACTGCAAACGAAGTCTACAGACTTCAATTGAATTCTACAGACTAATAAGCTAAATACCAAAAAGAAAAAAATTAATTAAAGCTAAACTATAACAAACAAACATGTATAACTCCTACATAAGTAAGAACAATAAATAACACACTTAAGAGTCAAAGAATAAATTTATTTGTTAAAATTATCTGATAAATTAATTTTATTAAAAAAAGTAATGTCGCAGACTGCAAACAAAGTCTACTGACTAATAAGCTAAATACCAAATAAAACAAGAAACTTGATTTCACTAAATATATATAATAGACACATGTAAATATGATACAGATATAAGTACACTAACTAAAACAATCGTAGGACCAAAAAAAATCTTTAAAATTCGTTGTAAATTTGATAAAAACACGTTTATAAAAAAAAGTGAAAAAGTAGACTAACAACAAAGTTTACAAAAGTAGACTAGCAACGAAGTCTACAAATGTAGACGTCGTATGAAGTCTAAATTTTATGTTACTTTTGCAATTGCCAAAAGATGAGTAGACTTTGTCAAAAAAGTCTACTCACTTCGAGAAGTCTACTCGATAAGTCTATGTAAAAAAAGTTTGTTTTGCAATTAACCAAACTTTGACTTTTTCGTAAGAAATCTACTCGCAAAGTAGACTTCTTAGAGGTTAGGTTTGCAATTGACCAATGTTGACTTTTCAAAGTAGACTTCAAACCACCGATTTCTCGGCACAGATCTGAAAACTCACGAAAATTGACTGAAAATCATCTGCCAAGGTTATTTAGCTTCTTCAACCACCGATTTCTTCGATTCTAGCCACCACCAAACAAGCCCAATCGATTTGCCAGACTAAATCACCAAATATGAAAATATCTTAGAACATCAAGTTTTGAAAAGTTAGATTAGAGAGTTTTTGTGCTGAAAATAGAAAAAAATGAAAGAATTAAAGGTTAAGAGTAGAGAAAATGAGGTTTTAAAGCAGAAAAAGGATTGTTGAAGCAATAAAAACTTCAAATTAGTTGAAAATGGTGGTTGAGTGAATTGACGATGATGACATTTTCGTGAATAAGCGAGGAAGATGAGGATTGTTTGATACAATGGATTTCCGAAATAATAAAAGAAAACAATAATCTAATGGCATTTTCGTGAATAAATAGAACTAATAAGGATAGAATTAAGAGAAAGTGGTTAATTATAAAAGTGGGAAAATGAGAGGTTATTTTAACAATTGACTCCAATTTTTAGGTCATACTAGGTATATAACTCGCGATACGCGCGAATCTGTATTAATATTTTGGTTTATTGTTTTTAGCTACTATCTTTAAAATTATTAAAAATTATATATATTTTATAAATTTTTTTTATTTATATAAGAAAATTTAATATATAATGTGTAATTTATCCTATCTTTATTTATAAATTTTAAAAAACTATTAGGTAAAATAATAACAATGACACCTATCGAATTATCCAACTTTGATGTACATATATACATTTGATTTAGAGAAATATAATATTGCTAAGATTTTGATATTATTTTCTGTTTTCCATAGAATTTCTATATTTCTTTTTTTCTTGAAGGTTTATGTGTTCGAATATTTAGTTTTTTTATTGAAAGTCTTATTGATGTTGTGTACCACTGTATATATAATCTATGATTCATGTTGATTCGCATTTAATTTTGTTAGGAAGCTGTAATGATCATGCAAAACTATTTTTTCCTTCTCCATCATGTCTTCCAAGAGTTTTATGTTATAATTTTATCCAATTTTCATTGTTTTGATTGTTAAATCGAGTTGTTGTAGATATTTTTAAATTG